TCTACTCTTACCTTCTATCCACACACCTCTTTCTTTTATTCTTAGAGTGCTCTCTTTTTAGGACTTCTCTATCATCTCCACCAATCATAGTAAAATATACGAACAAATTCATGTTTTAACCATTTTTTTATTATTGTAGATCGACCCTTTTGGCTCCGTGTTGACTGTTTACATAATATAGATGACGTTTAGTTCTTTATTTTTTCCCTTCCTTTGTAGCGTCATGAACAACATACACGTGTCTATCGCACAAGGGAGTCATCTAGGGTTTGGACATACTTCAACTAGTTTAAGTATGTATCATTCAAGTAAGAGATCGACTGACATGTTAGAACTAAAAAAAAGTCTAAATGCTTGTTGGGTTTGTTGTAAAAGTCGTCACGGTTTAGAAGTAGTTAGTGTGAGATCCCACATCAGTTGGAAAGAAGAACGAAATATTCTTTATAAGGGTGTGGAAACCTCTCCATAGCAGACGAGTTTTAAAATTGTGAGGCTGATAGCGGTATGTAACAGGCCGAAACAAATAATATCCAATATCTGCTAGTGGTAGATTTGAGCTATTACCGTCGGTATATACAATGTTTTCAAGATGTTCCTTTTACCCATAAATTGACGTTCTTGGCTTTAGTGTTGACTTATCTTAGTATCAACGAGGCAGAAATTATAGTTCAACAAGCTACTGTTATGCACGTTCCTTTCTTGATCAATATTGATAATCACTCGATTCAACAACGTGGATCTCGTGGTTACTTTAAAGTAATTTAAATCACTAGCATGCAAGGTAAATGGCAAAACAAGAAAGAACCCATATGAAGTACAACCACACAAAGTGATTACATTACATGTGTACTTCTTCTACATTCTTCTTCTAACTTTTTATAAAGCAAAGCATTTTGGAGATCACACACACAAAAGGAGGAGAAGACAATAAGTTTTGGAGGATATCCCAAGAACCCAATTGGTCAATTAGGTCGACACGTGGAGCGGGCACCGTCCCGACACATGTTCATCTCCATTTTTGCAACTATTTTGATGAGATTTTATTGTGTTTTTATCCAATTGGCCACTCCCCAACACTCCATCTCTCTTCTAATGATGCTTCTTCCTCAAACACATTTGGGAATTAAATAATGAGTGCTTTTTAGGACTTTTCTTTTCCTAATTATTAATTTTCTTTCCTTTTTTTCGGGGATGAAATGATTGGGTTTATGAAATTTTTCAAAAAGTATGTTTGTTCGGTAATGCTAACATAGAGAATTTCATCATCTTCATGTTTGATTTGGGCTTTGAATCTTTCAAGCCCAATGGGCCTATCCTTTACGAATCACCCCTTTGTAGAAGTCCGTGATCCGTAACATGATATTCCGAAGAGTAAAGTTTGATGCTATGCAGTAGCGGCAACCAGATGTATATTTGAAAAGCAGCAGCAATAGTAAAGTTTTGGTGCTATGCAGTGGCATCGCAACAGTAGATGATGTCTCTCCTCAGTCTTAATAGCAGCCGCTCAAAGATAAAACATGCTAAAATGATTTATGTTGGTTCGTGAGATGCTAGGAATGAAATGATGGTTACGATGAAACATTTAAATGGTCAATTCCAAAGATCTTTGTTGGTTGTACTTTGCCTAAGGTCACCAAAGGATTCTCATCATCCCATAATGTTGAAAGCTACATAGTTAGGGGTAAAACCGTAATTTTACTCCTTGTACCACGTCATCAATCCGTGCAGAAAACTTCCATTGCCAAATACAGACCCTCCGATCATTATCATCTTCAAGATTCCAGCTGTTCCCAATTGACATCAAAATTGCAAAAAAAAAAAAAATAATAATAATAATAATAAAAAGAAGAAATTTCTCAAAAATCCCTTTTTCAAATCTGTTCTAAATCCAAACAGTTTTGCAGTCAATTTTGGTTCCTCTCTCTATTTCTACCAGCTGCTTTCTGTAGGCTTCAGGGAAATAAAAGCTTTGTTTTTCAATTTCAATGGCGACTGAAGAGCTGCCTCCTTACCCTCAGGTTCATTCATGATTTGTTCTTCATTTTGTTGTTTTTTCTCTCTTAATTCTTCGTGGGTTTCGTCCTACTACCTTTAATTTCTTGAATCTGCTTCTGGGTTTGTGCGTTTGCACCTTAATTTGTTCTTGAATCAGAGTTTCTCGTGATTCTTTTTGTTGTTGTTCTGTGATGATTTGATGAACAGGGGAAATTTCTACTTTCATTTTTGGATTTGATTTGAAATGATAAGAGATTTGATGTTAATTTTTTGAAGATTTGTAGATGTTAGATCTGTTCTTAAGTTTCTTTCTAGATCTACAAATCATGGAAGGAAAAAGGATGAATCAAAACACCATTTGTGATGGAAATGTTTTGAATATTGCAGATGATATTAAGGGCTATTGAAGCATTGAACAGTGACAATGGCTCAAACAAGTCCACGATATCAAAGTACATTGAATCAACATATGAGAACTTACCAACTGGGCACTCATCTTTGCTCACGCTCCATTTGAACATGATGAAGGCCAGCGGAGAGCTTGTGTTCTGGAAGAACAACTACATGAAGAGGGATCCCTCGGCTGCTCCCCGGCGGGGGCGTGGCAGGCCTCCCAAGCCGAAGGAGCAGAGGGAGCCTCCCATTGCAGCAAAGGCAGTGAAGATGAAGGTATCATCTGGGACAGGGAAGCCAAGAGGACGACCGAGGAAGTTGCCTCAGTCAGTGACCACAACAGCTCTGCCACCACCGAGCGGGAGGCCCAGAGGTCGACCGCCTAAGGTGAAGGCTCTGTTGACTGAAGTTAGCGTTCTATAATAGATAGATTGTTGCAGTGTGCAGTGAAGTGTTAATTGGTAGTGCCATGACTCGCGCTCTCTCTGTTGCTGTGTGAGCTGTTGTAGTTGTAATTGTTGTAAAATGTGGTGGTGTGGTTTGTGTGAGGGCTCACGTTCACCTGTGCTAGTCATCCTTTCTTTAGTGTTTCAAACCTTAAAAGTTCAAACACGACACATCCACCGGTAGATATTGTCTGTTTTAGCTTGATATGTATAGCCGTCTCATGGTTTTAAAAACGCGTATGATAGGGAGAGGTTTCAGTACTATTACAAGGAATGTTTCGTACCCCTTTCTAACTCATTTGAGATCTCATAATCCACCTTTTTGGAGGACTAGAGTCCCTGTTGACACATTGTTCAGTGCTTGACTCTAACACCATTTGTAACCGTCCAAACTTGTCATTAGCGGATATTGTTTGCTTTAGCTTGTTACGTATTACCATAGTCTTGCAATTTTAAAATGCATTTATTATGGAGAAGTTTTCACAACAAAGAATGTTTCGTTGCACTCTACAATCGATGTTAGATCTCACATAAAGTGACATGGGGACAACAATGGAAAAATATGATCCCTAACTTTGAATCTGTTTAGCAGTCCCATAGAATTGAACTAAAGTCAAAGCGAACGAGGGGTTTCATTATGTGAAGTCAAAAGGGCATCTACCTTTGAAATTTTTTTGGTTGTTGAATGCTTATGGAGGATCCAACATTCCTGCTTTTCTGCATCATGGGACCGAACAATATTAAGGGTAAAATTGGAATTTCATGTTATAGGTCGAATCCTTATAACATGTTTTGTTCTTGTCCTCACTCACATGTATCCCCAATTTCTAGAAGAGAAGGTCGCCTAACGCAGTGCAATTGCTCTAAGTAAAACACACTTAACCCTGAAGTTCCTATAATTGATTGAGGCACCGAAAGTAAGGTAGATCTTATTAGTATAAATAATTACTTTTAATTCTTTTAAACATTTGTTAGTCGCCTTATCATTAGGATAATTTTCATTTAGATGTGATCTCAGTTCATCTATGAATTTCTCATTTATCATTTACTGAGTTTCACATCAACGTAAATTCAACATTTTTATTATATTAAATAACATTTAACAAAAAAAATATCAATAAAATAGTATTAACAACGGTAGACTTTTAACTTTAAAAAATAATAAAATGTTTATGTTAATTTAAATATTTTTTTTTGGGTTTGTCTTTACAAATTTTTTTATAAAAATCTGTAGACTTGGAAAATTCCGTTCACGTGGATGATGGGAATAAAGAAAGATGACGTGGACGTAACGGCCTTAACAAAGGACGTGGCGTTATATATGTACACGTACACGATGTTTTAGTGCGAAAAATTGGTGCGTGGGTCCACGCGTTGGTTTAAATATTAAAAAAATGTCGTGTTGTAAATGGGGCCCACCTGGTGTTTGCATAGGCGCGTGGGTTATACCCCCGAATAAAAAGGATCGTGAAGGCCACGCTTCAGCCACGTGGTGTAATCGAAAAGCCACTAAGCTTGGTTCTGTAGAACACGTGGCCTTTTGAGTGGACACTGCAAGAGCAAGTTGACCCCTCGTAATGTTGTTCATGCCACGTGGCTTCCATTGCATTTTACGAGGTTTTAAAGTTGGATAATGATTTAGAAGCACAGACGTCGATTTAAGTTGGAGCTTCGGAGGAAATTCTAGGAATGGAGTAAGAAATCCCATCCAATGAAGCGAGATCACTCTTACCAGTCACCAAATCCCGCCGCCGGCAAGGCCAAGATATGGCCGGAGAAGGAGGACGACGACGACGACGACGAGCTCCTAGCAGCTCTAGGCTACAATGTCCGGTTGTCGGACATGGCCGACGTCGCTCTGAAACTCGAACAGCTCGAAATGGTAATGGGTTTGTCGGAAGAAGACGGAATTTCTCATCTCTCTTCCAACACCGTCCATTACAATCCCTCCGATGTGTCTTCGTGGGTTCAAAGCATGCTCGCTGAACTCAACACCGATGACTCTGTTTTCGCCGAAGCCGAATCAACCTCCGCCGTCGCGGCATTCGCCGACGACTCTGAGTACGATCTCCGAGCAATCCCGGGCGTTGCTGTTTTCCCCCAAATCGATTCCAATACACCCAGAAAGCGATTTAAGAAATCAGAGTCCGAATCGGTTCTTGTTACTGCTTCTTCTTCTTCTTCGTCGTCGTCAGAGCCGTCGCGCACGGTGGTTCTGGCGGATTCCACCGACACTGGCGTCTATCTAGTCCATACCCTCCTCGCCTGCGCCGAGGCCGTCGATATCAACAACCTCAACCTCGCCGATACATTACTGAAACACATCAGAATCCTCGTCGAGGCCCAAGGCGGCGCGATGAGGAAAGTCGCCGGTTATTTTGCACAAGCCCTTACTCACCACATTTACGGATTGCACCCACAAAAGCTCTTCGAATATGCATCTTCATACACCGATCTTCTCCAAATGAATTTCTACGTGTCTTGCCCGTATATGAAATTCGCCCATTTCACGGCCAATCAAGCGATTCTCGAATCTGTTGGCACCGCCGCAACCGTCCACGTCGTTGATTTTAGCCTTCAGCAAGGCCTCCAATGGCCGGCGTTGATTCAAGCCCTCGCGCTCCGTCCCGGAGGGCCGCCGGCGTTTTATCTCACCGGAATCGGGCCCCCGCCGGGGGAAAATTCCACCGACGGATTACAGGAAGTGGGTTTGAAATTGGCTCAATTCGCGGATACGATCGGTGTGGAATTCGAATTCCGTGGGTCTTTCTGCAACGATTTAGCCGAGCTCGATCCGTCCATACTCAATTTAGAATCAGAAACGGTCATCGTGAACTCTGTTTTCGAGCTCCATCGGCTACTGGCGCATCCGGGCGCGATCGAGAAAGTTCTAAGAACAATCAAAGAACTTAACCCCAAAATCGTCACCGTCGTGGAGCAGGTCGCTGACCACAACGGACCATCGTTCACCGGCCGATTCACAGAAGCGTTACATTATTACTCGAGCTTGTTCGATTCGTTGGAAGGGTCGCTGGCAGGGGAGGAGGATGTGGCAGGGTCGGAGGAGTATTTGGGGAGGCAAATCTTGAACGTGGTGGCGGGTGAAGGTTCCGACCGGGTCGAGCGTCACGAGACATTGGCGCAGTGGCAGAGCCGGTTGGGTTCGAGTGGGTTCGAGATGGTTCATTTGGGTTCAAACGCGTTCAAGCAGGCGAGTACTCTGTTGGCTCTGTTCGGCGGCGGAAATGGTTACAGAGTTGAAGAGAATAATGGAAGTTTGACGTTGGGTTGGCACACTCGGCCGCTTATCGCCACCTCGGCGTGGGCTGTGGCCTCCTGTACCGGCGGCGAGTCAAGCTGAGTTGCCTCGGCCGAGTTTATCCAAATCGGAATCCTTGGACAAGATGTAGATAAATAGAGAGAGTGATGGTAGTGTGAACTGTAATTTTTTTTTTAATGGTTTCTTGTGTCATGCAAATTTTCTAATAACTATAGTAGTTGGTGTGGAAACTTATTCAGGGTAGAAAAAAAGCCTAAAGTGTACAATATCTACTAGCGGTGTGCAAGCGCCCCCAATAGGAGACAGTTAGAGAGGGGAGCGAAATATAGAAACCTCTCCCTAGCAGATGAGGCTGCTTAAAATCGTGAAGTTGTCTCCATAGAAAACGTGTTTTAAAATCGTGAGGCTGTCAGTGATACGTAACGGACATTCATTACAAGGGTGTTGAAATTTCTCCCTAGCATACGCGTTTTAAAACTGTGAGGCTGCCAACAATACATAATGAACTAAAGCGGACAATATCTGCTGACTTATGCTATTACGTACCGGGCATCTAATTAATTAAAATATTCTTAGTTAATTAGAATCATAAAGCTAGATTAAGAAATTTTATTCATTATATGACTTCATCTTCTATAACGAAAAACACGACCAAATTATATTATTTATAACACACATTGACCGATCACTGTTTTTCATTAGACAAATTTTTCAACGTGCAATAATATTGTACGTTGTAAGTAAAGACTTGGTCAGCCACGTCTTCCAATTATTTTTCCCATTTTCTTTAGGCAACGATGCATGTGAAGTCCCTTCCTTCTTACATAGCAAAAAGTGCCTAACTTGCTTTGCTCCTATGGCTTCCCTAAGGCTTAGAGCTGAAGAACGGAAAAAAATAAGTACTTTGGTGACTAAGAATTTAAAGAAAGGGTTTATGAGACGTACCATCCATTCCATCGTTAACGCAATAGAGAACGAAGTTATCAACGTTAGTTCCGAGAGTAGGTAGACGAGCAAGGCGAGCATATGATGTAAGAGTGGTCTTCATCACCTCACAAACCAAATCATCTTCATTTGCCACGAACCTAATGGGTCCTGTGCTCCCAACCACATTGACAGACACCAAAATTCTATTACACTTTGAATTTCTCATCTTTGACGTGCTTCTCTTCAACATGCTAACAATTTTTGGATAAACGACAACACTTAAAGCTTACTATCTAATGTCATGCTTAAGAACGAGGACAAAGAGGACGAGGACGAAAGCTGGTGCTTAGGAATGAGGACGAGAACAGAGATTGGTGCTGATCAAGAAGAAGCACTCAGCCATCCAGACCGAGACGAAGGAGGAAGAAGATGAAGAGAAAGAAATATATATTGTTTCCACCCATCCTCATTGGTAGGGCCATGATGAACACAAAGCATCGATACTTTGTGGGGATGTGATATTAATCAAGAAAACCTAGAATAGAATAAGTTTAAAGAAAGGTGGTAAATAATAATATTATTATTTTGATTTTAAGCGAATAAAAAAAAAAAAAAGCTAGCATTTAGCGATAGTTCATTCCGTTTTGATTCTAAGATAAATTTCATTTTACATGGGCGTGATATTCATTCTTATTTTTCATATCTAAATCTAAGTCGATATTTTTTTAATTAAAGGTGTATTTGTTCGGTGCTCATTAAATTTATGGTCTTTTTTATATGGTGAAAGAAATTAATATATACAATATAATCCATCCATAACTTTAGAGGTATTAAATATAACAAGTGCAAGACTACACGATCGAGTCAATTATGTTTGGAATAAGAATTGATGCTTTACAAATTGAAATGTACAAGGAAGAATAGAAACGAGTCTAGTACGAAGAAACAGAGAATATAAAAGGACAAGAACGAGACGAATAAAACTCATCTTCGATGAACAAAATAAACGCATTTACTATCAATATCCATAATTTGATCTTCCTTTTCTTTCCTTTCATAAACAATCTCGATGATAGTTGTTGCAGTTTACGTGCTTGTTTTCCCTCTTCCTGTCGAGGCAAGATATGTACGGTGGTCGGTTGCAGATTGGGCGGGAGGGGTTTCCGGTTTTGGGACTTTGGAATAACGGTTTAAAATTTAACAGCATTTGCTGAACCTCCGCTTCCATCAAGAATTCGAAATGGATGATATCTTCTCCGATGAGACGGTTGGTGTCATAGGAGGCAATGACGGCGGTGGAAGTGGAGCCGGTGGGGAGGAGGAGTTGAAGAAGAAGGACAAAGATGGTGGGAATGATTGTAGCCATGGTGGGGTGGTGAGTGAGTGAAGAAATGGTGAGGAGGAAGATGAAGTTTAATGGAAGGATATTCAATTTTGGTAGATGGGGAAGTTGTGCTTGGATTCGATTTCATTTAATGATGGATTGCCTCGATTCGATTTGTACACCACATGATATAATCGACTAGAATGGGAAGAACGATGAATTTAGATTTCATCGTTTAACAATTCCATGGATGATAGATATTATCAATTTTGAGTCGTTACGTATCGTTGTCAGCCTTACGAGTTTAAAATGTGTCTATTGGAGAGAGATTTTAATATCCTCGTAAGCAATGTTTCGTTCTCTCTCCAACTGATGTGAGATCTCACCATCCACCTTATTGGGGGCCAACATCCTTATCCTTGTTGACATGGCTGACACACTGCATAGTGTCAGTCCACCCTCTTGGGGGCCAACATCCTTGCTGACACACTGCATAGTGTCAATCTACCCTCTTGAGAGCTAGCATCCTTGCTGGCATATTGTATAGTGTCAATCACCTTCTTGGGGGCAACATCCTTGCTGGCACACTACATAGTATCAATTCACTCTCTTGGGGGCCAACATCCTCACTGACACACGGCATAGCACACTACATAGTGTCAATCCACCCTCTTGGGAGCCAATATCCTTGCTGACACACTGCATAGTGTCAATCCACCCTCTTGAGAGCTAGCATCCTTGCTGGCATACTGTATAGTGTCAATCCACCTTCTTGGGGGGCCAACATCCTTGCTGACACACGGCATAGCACACTACATAGTGTCAATCCACCCTCTTGGGAGCCAATATCCTTGCTGACACACTGCCTAGTGCAATCCACCATCTTGTGGACCAACATCCTTGCTGACACACTGCATAGTGTCAATCCACCCTCTTGAGGGCCAACATCCTTGCTGACACCCTGCATAGTGTCAATCCACCCTCTTGAGGGCCAACATCCTTGCTGACACCCTGCATAGTGTCAATCTACCCTCTTGGGGGCCAACATTCTTGCTGACACACTACATAGTGTCAATCCACCTTCTTGAGGGCCAACAACCTTGCTGACACCCTGCATAGTGTCAATCTACCCTCTTGGGGGCCAACATCCTTGCTGACACACTACATAGTGTCGGCTATGATACTATTTGTAACAGTCCAAGCTCATCGTTAATAGATAATGTTTATTTTGATCCGTTACATATCATCGTCAGCCTCACGAATAAAAAAATCAATTACGTTAAAAATAATATATTTTAAAAAATAGTGGGTATGAATAAGTTATAATATATTTAATTTTGGATGTTACGTATGCTTCTTTTGACATCTTAGGTTAGGTATTTTGATGTTCATACTTGAATTTATTAATTATTTTATGCATCGAAGTTGCTCATAATTTTAATTATGTGATGTTTTCAACATTTTAATTATTACAATTTGAAGTTTACATTTCTAATTTTTTTATTCAATTAAAGAAATTTTCATAGGGTATTTATTATTTTATTCCTTTACAACTTTCAAAGTCTACTTTTTTTTTTTTTTTAATGTTTGAATTATAGAAATAAATGGGAAAAGATAATAATATTGTTTTATAAATATAAATTTATAAATAAGACTAAGTAAAATTTAGATAAAATATTATAATAAAAACATTAAACAAATATGATAAAACAAGAAGCGTTGACCAAACCTATAGCATTATAAATTAACCTCAACTTCATAACAAAGAGCCCACCACCCTTCCTCCTTCCGCCGTCGTCTTCCGTTACCGCCACCACCATGGCTGCAACTATGCCAATGAAACCCACCACCATAGCGGTCGTGATTTTGCTGCTCGTCTCGACCGGTTGCGATGCTTTTGCACTTACCAAACCACTTTTCAACCACACCCAAGGTGAGTTAATTTGCTATTCAAAAATTTGAAAATCCTAAAACCTTTTATGTTTATAGTAAAAGTAGTGTCTTGAATGCCATAGGTCCCGGAAAACACGTCATCGGAGACGATATCGACACCGAGTTTCTTATGGAATCGCATATTAGTAGGGTACTTGCGGAGGAGGATGAGCTTAGGTTTGAAACCATGAGGAGCCCTAACCCCAACATTGCATCGGTGGTCGACTGCGAACGACCGCCACGCTTCGACAGTTGCCTCGGCGAAGGAAAGAACAATCCGCCGTCCGAAAACTGCGATCCCTTCAATCGGGCTAATCCTTGTTGATTAGAATGAAATGAAGAAGAATAAGTAGATATGTTGTTTGGGGTTTACAGCATTTTTAAGGAATTAATAATGTAATGAACACATATTTAGTGCTCACTAAGATCGTTTACTTATGTAATATGTTCGTTGATGAATATCGTAATGTTCTTCATTTTTCACTGATAGTATTGGATCGAGTTGGTACATTTTTATATAAGTAATGAACACGATCTTCGTTGGACGAGACCTTTTAGAGAAATCAAAAGTAAAATCACGAGAACTTATGCTCAAAATTGACAATATTATACTAATGTGAAGGTCTATCGTGCTCTTTATCTTAATTTCGGCATACCCATGTCAATAGAATCCTAATCTCGAACAAAGATATCGTGATAGCCATAGGAGTTGCAAAACGACCTAAAATGATTTAAATGATTTTTCTATTGTAGATAATACGAAGTCTAATGTAGATAGTATATGAATTAACAAATAAGTTGGTAATAGGGTTGGTGGATTATAGGGTAAAAGTTGATACCGAGTAGTACCAAACCCGATCCGACTAAGTCAATTTTTTATTATAAAACCAACTTTACTTTTTAAAAAAATTAACATATATATATATATTGCTCGTTCTTTCAAAAACATTTCTGTCATATATTCAACAACGATCAGCACGGTGTAAGACCATCAATCCAACAATTCTTATTAAATAATAAACTCAATCCAACTGTACATTTTTTTAGTATGGTTGGTGAGCAGTTTAAGAATAAATAATAAAGTGAATTATATCGTAAGCAAAATCTATATTTTAAAATTAACAATAAATTCGGGTGTGTTGGAATCAATCTAATCTAATTTTAAGAGACCCATGATTTGAACCCGACTCAACTAAAATATGTTTATAACAGAACCCGAATTGAAACCAAAACCGAGATGAAACATCAAATCAAAACATTAAACAAAAGACAAAACAATAAGTAGGAATAATGAATAACACTATTGAGCTCAACAGAAAAATATTGAATTGCATGAGTTAGACATTACTACAAATTAAGCTCATCGCCATACTCAAAACACCCCTCCCCATTCTTCTTCCTCCCCAGTCGTCCTCCTCCGCCGCCCATCGCCGCCAGCAATGGCTGCAGCCGCACTGATGATACCCGCCATGATCATGGTTCTGCTACTCAACCCAACTGGATGTGACACTTCCGGTAAGTTTGGAATCACTTTTCGAAAAACAAATTAATTTATAATAATTTTATGAACTCATTGTATCTTCATCGCGACCCAGATGCAAAGCGAAGCCTGGTTGGAGACGAAGACATCGAGTCGGAGTTTCTTATGTCGTTGCACATCAGCCGGGTGTTGGCGGAATCCCAAGGGTTCGAAACCAGCGCCACTAGCAACGCTACCGAACCTGCCGTCGGGGAATGCGACAGGCCGCCACGCTACGACAGCTGCCTTGGCGAGAAAAGAAGTACTCCGCCGCCGGAAAATTGTGGACCCTTCAATCGTGAACATCCCTGTTAGAAAAAGAAGACAGCCGCCGTATGTTTAAGGAATAATGTAATTGGTGGATAAAGATTGGAGTGTTTCTTTCATATCTCTGATGAATTGAGTTAACTTTTTAGTTGGTTTTCGATTAAATAAATAAATAAAATTGATGAAAGTGGTGGTGTTTGTGATTTATGGGTTAATGTTATTATGTATGGACAATAAGCCATGTTTTTCAGCTGATTCACTGTTGGTGCCACTACGTCATCATTACTACCATTGCCCTTAGCCACGTTCTTGTTGCTATCTAGAATCGGGTATTCTCTTCTTTGGACGGTCTCTGTTTTGGACTTTCCCTCAAGTAGGGAGAGATTTCCACGCGTCCTCGCTTCGGGCTCAATGTCTTTGTTGGCACTTGTTACTCTCTTCGATTGATGTAGGATCTCAGGTTCTCCATCTGCCCAGCGTCCTCACTGGCACTCGTTGCTCTCTCTAATCGATGTGGGATCTCACAGGCTCCCCCTCCTACCGTGGGATCTTATCTCACAATCCACATCATTTCGGGGTGCAACTTCAGCTGACACTCGTTTCTCTCTCCAATCAATGTGGGATCTCACAATCCACTCTTTTTTGGGGCCAAATGTCATCTCTGGCACTAGTTGATCTTTCCAATCAAGGTGGGATCTTACAATCAACCTCTTTTTGGGGCCTAATGACACTCATTCCTCTCTCCAATCGATGTGGGATTTCAGGCCCCCCCACCCCCTCCAACCATGGGATCTCATCTCACAAACCACCTCATTTCAGGGTACAACGTTCGCTGGCACTGGTTTCTCTCTCCAATCAATGTGAAATCTCACAATCCACCAGGGCCCAATGTCCTCGTTGACACTCGTTCTTCTCTCCAATCGATGTGGGATCTCACAGGCTCCCCCTCCAACTATGGGATCTCATCTCACAATCCACCTCATTTCGGGGTACAACGTCCTCACTGACGCTCATTTCTCTCTCCAATCAATGTGGAATCTCACAATCCACGTCCTTCTAGGCCCAATGACCTTGCTAGCACTCATTCTCTGTCCAATCAATGTGAGATTTCAAAATCTACCTCTTTCAGGGCCTGGCCCAATATCTAATTCTAATACCATTTGTAACCGTCCAAGCCCACTACTAGCATATATTATCTTCTTTGTAATTTTTTCCGAGCTTCCCTTCAAAGTTTTTAAAACGTGTATGCTAAGAGTTTTGCCACACCCTTATAAAAAATGTTTCGTTCCCCTCTCCAACTGATGTGAGGCCTCACAAGTACACTCACGATATATTATTCACATTCCTTTCTATTTTGTCAATTCCACCGTGAGCATGTCCTATTGAGTCCATGTAGATGTGCATGAACTATAATAGAGAAATATTATGTATCCAATTATACCCACAAATAAAATTAGATCCCATAGCGAGTCATGAACTTAGGTCCAAACCATCTTAGTTATGGTTCTTTATTCTATTCTCACTCTAAAAACTCGTTTACTCTAATCTGGGTAAGGTTCTTCAAATAGCTGATTCTTTCCATCGGCTTGACTTTTTGATTTTCTCCGATAAAGCATATAGCAATTAGCTAGAGATAGATATGCTGCTCTAGAGACATTAGGGAAGTCTCGAGCACAGGTTTAGGTTCGGCCTCAATGACCAGATGAGATTTTGGTCTGGAGCCCCTTTTTCATATGGAGAGAGCACTCTATGTGGTTGCTATTTATTTTACTCACTATTTTTTCCAACAAGTATACATGCTAAATAGCTGTCTTTTATGTTTTAAAAATCTGAAATTAAAAATAAAAAAGTTGGGTTTCTTTTTTATAGAAAGATGTGTTAGAGAAACATTACATCAAGGCATTAAAAAAATATAATAAAACAAGAAATAATTGGATATAAATTAAGCTCATAGCCCAACACAAAGCCGCCCATTGTTATCTTCCTTCTCCCCACATCCCAATCGCTTCCTCCGCCGCCATCGCCACCAGCAACCCACCCACGGCAATGGCTGCAGCGGCGGTGATCATACCTGCCGCCATGGCGATCATGATTCTACTGCTCAACCCAACTACTTCCGATGCTCTTACATCTTTCAAACCACTCAACAACGACACTTCCGGTAAGCATAAACAATAAAAACTTGTAATTTACATAAAATTTGACCATAAATTATGAAACCCTTTATTTGTTTTTTGTGTTCGTGTTCAATTTGCGTGACCCAGCTGCCGGAAAGTACCTCATCGGAGACCAAGACCTCGACTCAGAGTTTCTAATGGAATCGCACATCAGCCGGATCCTAGCAGGCTCCCAAAACTTCCAAACCAGCAAAACTAACGACGCCAACAAAGCTTCTGGCGGCGGCTGCGGGCGGCCGCCGCGTTATGACAGTTGCCTCGGCCAGAAATCAAACAATCCGCCGCCGGAAAATTGTGGGACCTTCAACCGCAATAATCCCTGTTAGAAAAGGACAATCCATAGATCACAAAGCTTATGATCTCTCAACAACAATGTAATGTCTCAATTGTTTACCTCTTTCATTTAATTTCGATTGTGTTCTTCATGTATTGCGTTTTTTTTTTAATTTTTAATTTCAATAAAATATTTTTCCAACGTTTAATTCTAATTTGTTTAAAAATTATATCATCATATCAAAATTAATTCTAATTTTTGGAAATTTCTTCGTTGCTGGAACGATGAACATAATCTCCGTCCCGAGCTCCGTTTAGCTAATGGAGAAAATTCTATCCGTTCGAGACATGTCTTGACTGTTAAGGTTTAAATGGATATCCATATATTAGATGTTCAAGTATCTCTATTATAAAAATAATTAAAAAGAATATATTAATTTGGTAATTTATTTTATATAATAAACATGTCATATCATGACTAATAAATTAATTAAATCAATTCATAGGAATGGACAAACAAGTTGCTGATGGGTCGTCGGTGGCTTAGATTAATTAATTAATTAATTACTCAATTATTTATTTCTCACCTAATAAAAATAAAATATGTAAATTTAATTTATTTTTTTAATAAAATAAATCACTAAATACAACTCATAATTATCACCGTTGACTTTGTCAAACTACATTTTGGGTCATTTTTACCCCCAAAGTTTCCTATTTTATTGAGGACATTATTGCCTAAAAAATCCATTAATTTGGTTCATTCACCCAAGATATTATTATTATTATTATTATTATTTTCTAATTAAAAATGAATATTCTTTTTTTTTTTTTCGTTTATAGGTCGAGTATATACATATAACTACTAATTGATTCTTAAAAAAAACAAAAAATATCTCATTATCTTTAAATGTACGCATTTGAAAAGTCTTTTTTTTTCAAACAAAACTAATTAAGTCAAATTATTGATGATCTATAAATATTCCCGAGCTTTAATTTATAAGAATCTTAAAAAGTTTGATCTAATAAATATTTTAGCCGAATTTTATAAAGTTTCATAAGGAAATGATGAATTGTATACCAAAAAATGTTGAGTGCAATGTATATTTCTATTTAAGATATGGACCATTTTGACCTCATGCTAACTTTATAATTTCAAATATGCCACTCAATTATTTATTACTTCTTTATTAATTAAAAGGTTTTCAATTTTGTAAAATAAAGAGGCCTACGTTTATGTTGGAGT